CCCACCAAAATTATCAAGGTTATCGTTGTTATACACTTTTCGAGCGATTAGAGTTAGTTTTGCACCTATCCAAGAGATTAGGGTTAGTATTTCGCATAATGATATTTATTTATACTTATTTAAGACCTTGGCATGGCGCGGCATCGCAGTTTGGCGCAGTAGTACAATGACGTCATAAACGTTAATTGTTTTCCGAACCATCTGACTTTGGCGTGTCAAATCATCGGGTTTGGCGCATACCATCGGACTTTGGAGTCCCATCGCGTTTTGAAGTCCTACAAATATCCTCAGCCTCTTCTTACAAATTTCTGTATATTTCTCTCCAGAAATTTTGCATGTGTTGCTAACTTTTAACCAATCAGATTGTAGCAATTGCACTGAGACACTCAGTAGAGAAAATAAGCAGTGGCAATTTTAGGGGTATACAGTACAACAAAATGTAAAATACGATGTAAACAAATATTATGCACTACATGCTAATCATTAACGCAACGATTTATATATTTTAACTCTTAACAGCCTCTTTTTATGCATGTAGATTTTCGTCATTGTTGCCTGCAAGAAAGATTAGAATGACTATATTTTGTTATTTTGATGGCACAACCGGCCGTGGTGATAATTAGTGACTTCTACAGAGCCGCCCCTGCAGTTTATGCGAGGACAGTAAGTGGGTATGTTGTGTGATTTCTTTATTCCTAAGTGCACAAAAGTCGCCAATATCTCGATACATGGCAAACAGTATCTACACAAAGAATAGAATATGCTTTATGATGACCTGCAAATGTGTGGGCTATACGTAATGTGGTCAATTCTTAAGTATACAAGTCAACAAACCATCGAACAGTAGTGAGGATATGGGTCATTATACTTATGTCTTTTGTAATGTTCAATTATACGACATCTAGTGCACTCTTCCAGATGACATTCGGTGCGATGATCATACCGTTACTGAATTCATAAAGCAACCGCTACCAAAAGGCGTGCAACAAATTTTGAAATTACCAGTGCACGAACTCCAGAACGTTGTCATTTCTTTACAATTTCTTTACAATCTTTACAATTCTGACGGTAATAAGGTTACAAATTAATTCAAAAATCGGTTTTGTCATTGATTGAATAAGTGTTTTGGGATAGTGGCGTAAGTGGATAGACTGTGGAGTCTGACTTGATCAAAATGCTTGCTGCTTCTTTGTCAGTATAGTTTCCGGGTGTTGAATGAATGTTCAAGCGTCAATATTGCTTTGGCAGCAAGAAAGTCTTCTGTCAAATAATATATTCCTCACCCATAACACAACATGTATTACCGTTGTGCAATCCCTGTAACTCCTTCATACAAAAAACTGTAGAGTCTGTCTTGATCCTTTTGCTTGCCGTTGTTCAGTCAGTATAGATCCCAGGGATTGAATGGCTTCGCAGTATCAATATTTTCTGTTGTTTGATTAATTATTATGTGCTGCACTTGTTGAATAGCATTGCTCTTTTCAGAGTCGATATCTATGCTTGAAATAGTATACATACTATATTTGATCTTTTATGTAGAGAATAGTTTCAGTTTTCTTGTCAAACATATCTAATTCTATCAAAAATATTCTTCATGAGTTTTAGAATTACTAATCAAGTAATATTTAAAGTCGATTAAATTAGACATGTACCTAGTTTAAAAAAAGATATAACATCGAACGTACATGATTTCAATAATGTAAATACTCGATACTGTAAGCTCCCCACGGATGGCCATAGTGGAATGGGGGGCGGGGGGGGGGGGGGCATACAGTGTACTTGTACAACATTTCTCAAGGTCACTCCTATATTCTTGGTTCATGAGTAAGGACAAAGCTTAAAATCAGTTCAAATATTGGTTTATTAATTCATCTTACAACAGGAAATGATAGTATGGTAAACAAAAGTCTATATTGGATACATATAGATATATCAAGTAATATTTGTTATGGTCTGCTGCGTCAACCGTACTTTCAAGGGTAAAAGGGGTAGCAAAGTTGATTAGGAATTTGAAAGCTCAAAATATCAAATATCAGGTGTCCAGTGTGTTGGGAGATAATTGGCAGTTTTTCCTCACCTAGAATTTAGAATTTGGATGCTGCTGCTGCAACTTATCTGCCATAAACTGGCGAGGCGCTTATATTTATTAGTTTCTGAAATAGTCAATTGACACAAATTAACGAATGAAAAAGCTGTACGGTGACGCTCGACCAATCACAGCATTGTACGGCGCCGTACAAACAGAGATCTGTCAAACAGTGCCAAACAACGTCAAACAAGGCTGCCGTACAATGTGGATTACAGCTACAAAACGGAATTAATATTTACATTTGCAATAATAAATAATATGATATGGATCTGGAGGATGTTTTCATCAACTGTAAGTAAGCATTTCATATGAATTAAACGTATATTTCATGATAGAAAACTGCAATCGTACAGCAGACGATATTCAAATAGCTCTGACATAATAAAAATGTGTAACTACTATTAAATCTTGTTTAAAGTAAAACCGCTGATAAATCTTAGTAAAAAATCTTGAAACATCAATTTTATGGATATTCACAAACAATTATAACATCGAATTGCATGAAAAAGTACAACTTGTTCAAATACGAAACTATGGCTAACTCAAATAAGATATCGGCGGGATGTAAACAACTTCCATGACTCCTGCAATCGTGTGCACTTATGGCAATGTTAGGCACGTATTTGATTCAAATATAATTTGAAAAATACAGTAAAATGGAAAGATTTTAAAGGTATGTACTTCAATTCATAGGATGGGGGATTTCCTGTATAAATGAATGCAACAAATATGTCAAATGTGCTATAAATAGACGATACCACGTTCTGTTATTATTCAGATAGCAGTGTAGTTTATTCGTAATGAAGTCCACCCTGATAATAATCCCAATAAATGATAACACATTTAAATCATATAAAAAAATAAACTAATTATTAAATTCTACTCCATGGCCATTACACTTCCCTCATCCAAAACTCTTAATTCTCCTGAATTAAGAACAAAATATTTCTGCATAAAAAATATAAATTTAAGGCAATATTTTGCACAAGATAATGATCACACAATTAAGTTTGCAAGATTAATTATTAATAAATGTTTCTTTTTATTTGTGTCACTTAATCTAAGTGGAATTCCAGCTTGGTCGATAATACGAATGAAATCATCCCACCGCCTCCTCCGCCGACTGCTGCCAGACTCTAGAAACTTCACCACCTCCTCATCCTCCTCCCCTGTTGAATGCCCTGTAGTTATGTTCCGCAGGTGTGCTTGTATAGGTAAACTCTGCTTTTGAAATGTGGGGCACTCAACTTCTTGGGAGACAAAGTGGGAGTTCCAGGCAAGGCCATGAAATTGAACTCGTCTAAAAGGCTGGGGCGCTCAATATCACATCCACCCGGCTGGCTTCTTCGTAGCGATAGGGCTGCAAACTCTAACTCCATCAGCTTTTTGTCAGGGGACATGGACTTAAATCCCTTAGCTTGGGAGGCCATGGCATGGAGACACTTCCAGATGCTAACACAACTGCTTCCTCCCTATCCCATTGCCTCCTGGCTGGTGGAAGAAGTGGCATACAGCCCCTGGCCAGGAGGGACCGGGCTCTAGTGGCTAGTGGGCCAAGAGTTGGTACAGAAGACAGGGAAGAAGGTTGATAGTCCATGAAAACTGCCAGAACTGGTAGCGGTCCTGATGGAGTAGTTGGAGTGGCTAAAGGGATGGAATCCAGTGGGGTGGTGGGAGCTGTGGCAAGGATGGGGGTCAAAGGAGTGGCAGAAGCAGATAAAGTCTGGGCCACTGATGTGACTTGAATACTGTCTAATGGAGGGAGGACTGTGGTTACAGGTGGAGGTAGAGGAAGATTCACAGGTAACCTGGGGATATAGGCCTCAACCAACTTCAGCTTCTTCTTGGCCGGCTCTGGATCGATGGTCACATGGGGTGGTGTCCTCTCTACAACCTTGCGGCCAGTGGAAGGGGAAGGTGAAGATTCCAGGTTGGACTCCGCAAAAAACTCTATCTCCGTTTCCTCAGGCAATTTCGACTTAACAGCCCTCCACACAGCTTTCAAATAGTCTGGCTCAATGCCAAGGGAGGTGGCAAAGTGAGGAGCCTGTCGCCTCCACGGTTCCTCTTCCAGCTGGGAGAACTGGGCCTCCTGAAGGTCTGGATGTCGTTTCTGGACGGCCATCTTCCTGGTTAAACTAGCTACACTCTTTGGATCAAAGAGGACCATGTCATCTAGCCCGACTTTGAAGAAGACATCAGCATCTTCGAGCACTGCCTGGATCTCTCCCGGTATTAAGTTGATGGTCAATGGAGTGAAGATGCCAGGGGAAGAAGGGCTGTACACTGCATGCTGGTCAACTGATGGGCCGGAAGGAGCTCTAAAATCTGTAGCTGCACTTTCCCACCCCTCCAGCCATGCACTCCTGGTCTTCCGAACCTTTGGCCCCGCAGAGGAAGCTAAAATTTTCCTGGTCCACTCTAGCAACAAGGAACGCAACCGAGAGGAGGCCCTGGTGTTGCGGTCAGTTGGTTCCACAAGAAACCGATAGTGCTCTGGATGGTAAGAAAGCCAGAAGCAGTTATTCTCTGACAGGAGCTCATCAGCTGGTACGTTGGTAGAAGCTACGGCATCCTTATGTCTTTTCAAAATATGGATTTTAAGGTCAGGCGCTCTGTTGAAGGTAACCTCCTTGTCAGTGCAAAAGGGGCAGACAACTCGTAAGGCATGGTGGGGGGCTGGGGCCAAATGTTCCTTTAACTTCCTCCTACTGTTGAACTTAAGTCCACATGGCTTGCCATCCACCTCAAGGACACATATGAAGGACATTCCGCAAGGCCAATATACATTTCATAGGAAAGGACTCACAGGGTAAGGTAAATACTTTGTTTCAACTCAATGTAAATTTTTGCATCTAACTTGTATTTTTATAGTGAGAACAATTAGTAAAATTAGATTGGTCTAATAGTTTTATCTTGGCTTTCTTAGGCTCATCAAGGAATTTGGCCGGGGTACAAGGGACTGGGGATTGCAGAGGTAATTGTGATTGATGAGTGGAGGATCTAGGATTCTATCAAGGGAAAGATTGGATGCCACCAAAGCTAAGTAAATAACAAGAACAACTATAGCAATTCACTAAAATTTAATTCCAAATATTCAGATGCAGGTGAAACTTAAACCAACAACACTGGTTACACCCATGAGATGCACTGGCCAGCTACATCTCGGTATCAACCTCTGGTGAGGGCCATAGATTGCACGCATCCGTCACCTCTCTACATCAGAGACGTGGGTCATAGATGGTGCACCATCCGTCCCCTCCCATCACCCATGATGTGGGCCATAGACCGCACACATCCGTCACCTCCCTTCACCAGCACCAAACCATGCAAGTAAAAAAAAAAATAAAAAAAAAAATCCCTGCATCTAGTTTCAATCATAGGTATGTATCTTTTTCCAAAATCTGGGGATTTTTTTAGTGTTCAGTTCTCCTCTGCTGATACCATTTCGGTGGATTCCTACCCTTGTAAGGAAGCAATCTGTCTGTATGATAAACTTTTGCTGGCTGTTTTTCTGACCTCTTGACCAGGCAGGTGACATCATCAATTTTCTTTGTAATAACATAGAGTCCTTTCCATTTACAGATTAGTTTGCTGCAGACGCCAACTTTCTTCGAGGAATCGTACAACCACACTGACTGACCCTCCTGAAATTTTCTGACCTCGGCTTTTGAATCATAATACTTTTTCTGGTAAACTGAATTTTGTCTTAAATACTTTCTAGCTATTTCATGCACCCTAACTAAATTTTCTTGTAATTTTAATACATATGCATCTGTGTCTGGAGTGTCACTGTCATCTGTTTCCTTGGGTCTTGGAATAACAGCTTCCAAGGGCATGACTATGTTTCTCCCAAATACCATTTTGTTAGGGGAAACGCCAATACTAGAGTGGACAGCAGCTCTGTAGGCCATCATAACCTGTGGTAAAACCTCATTCCAGTGCCTTTGGTCTTTCAGGCGGTACATAGTTAACATGTTTATGAGAGTTCTATTGAACCGTTCAACTGTACCATTGGCTTGAGGTCGTTGACTTGTAGTGCGGGTTTTCTGTATTCTAAACATGGTAAGCATATCTTTGAATAATTTTGCTTCAAATGAGCGACCTTGGTCTGAGTGAAGTTGAAGAGGAGTTCCATATCTACATATAAATTCATTTACTAGAACTTTGGTTATGGTCTGAGACTCCTGATCAGGTATGGCAAATGCTTCTGTCCATTTGCTGAAGCAGTCACATATAACAAGTATATATCTGTTTCCTTTTTCAGTAACAGCCCAAAATGTCCACAGACACACGCTCCATGGGCTCGCCAACCAAATACTGGTGTAAGAGGGCTCGATTAGATGTTTTCGAAGGTTTCTTTGCTGCACAGAGGTCACATTGTGAGCAATATCTTTCTACATCTTCCTTCATTTTGGGCCAATACGTAAGGTTTTTTATTTTATCCAAGGTCTTCTCTGCCCCTAAATGGCCTCCTGTAGGAATGTCATGAAAGTGCTTTAGTACCTGATTTTGTAGTGAAGTAGGGACTATTAACTGGAGGTGACCTAAATCATGATTGTCAGTGAGGAATCTGCGATAAAGCAAGCCATTCTCTACTGCTAGTCTATCCCATAACCTCCATATAGTTTTTAATTTTCCAGAACCAGGGGAGACTTTATTCCAAGCAGGCCGGGAATCATGGGACTCTTTGGCTACCAGAATAGAAGAAATATCATTATCATCTAGTTGAGCTTGCCTGATAGAATCTACTTGCCAACCATCAAGAACTATGCCACTTTCTGGGGGTAATGGTATTCTTTAATGCTTCACTTCTAGTGACAGCACATATTTGTATATCTGGAGTGAAATGACTGGCCTCGTCATCACTGTCGATCTGAGAATTTCTCAGCTCCTGGCGTTCACATGAACGACAAGGCCTACGGGACAAAGCGTCTGCATTGGAGTGTTTTCTCCCAGCTCTATGTGTGATGGTGAGGTCATATGTTTCAATCTCCTGAAGCCATCTAGCTGTTTGCCCAGTAGGATTTTTAAGATTTTTCATCCAGGTTATTGCAGCATTGTCTGTACGTAGAAGTACCTTTTGGCCATATAAATAGGAATGAAATGCTTTAAGGGACATGACGACTGCCAGTAATTCTTTTCTGGTAACACAGTATTGTTGCTCATGTTTATTCATTGCCTTACTCATGTATGCTATAACTTTTTCAGAGCCGTCTTGGACTTGGGAAAGAACGTACACTTCCTACTGATTTGTCACTGGCATCAGTATCCAATATAAAACCTAGTTCTGGTAAAGCGTAGGCAAGAATTGGAGTATATGTTAATCTTTGTTTAAGTAGTTCAAATGAAGTTTGGCATTCTGCTGACCATAGGAACTTGGCATTCTTTTCACATAAGGCATGAAGGGGGCGAGCTACCTGGGCAAATCCCTGGACAAATCTCCTGTAATATAAGCATAGCCCCAAGAAACTTCTCATTTCTTTTGCAGATTTTGGAATTGGTCAATCTACAACTGCCTGGATTTTATCGGGATCTGTTGATATGCCAGACTCTGACACTAAATGACCTAGAAACTTTATTTCTTTTTGAAAGAAGGTACATTTTGAAGGTTTAAGTTTGAGATTTGCTGACAAAAGACGTAGAAATATGTGCTCAAGCCTATCAAGATTTTCAGAAAAAAATTGACTTGGGACTATGATGTCATCCATGTAAACGAGACACTCCTGCCACTGTAGTCCCCTCAATACATTTTCCATAAGACGTTCAAAGGTAGATGGGGAGTTGGCTAAGCCGAAAGGTGAACTGGTATAGACCAAGGCTAGTATTAAATGCTGTTTTCTCTTTGTCGTCAGGTGACATAGCAATCTGCCAAAAACCTGAATTGAGATCCATGGAACTAAACCACTTTGAATTTGCAAGGGAGTCTAGACACTCATCTACTCTTGGGAGAGGATATGCATCCTTTATGGTGACGTCATTTAGTTGTCGGTAATCTACACAGAACCTCACCTTGCCATCCTTCTTTACAACTAATACAATGTTTGAAGCCCAAGGACTACTTGAAGGTTCAATAATTCCCCTGTCTATCATTTTCTGTAACTCCTCTTTTTCTATTCCTCTCTTTCCTACGGGGAGTCGTCTACTGGGTTGTCTAATAGGAAGAGCTGTTCCAGTGTTTATCTTATGTTGAGCTAAATTAGTGTGTCCAATGTCTTCAGATGATTCAGAGAATACTGTTTTGTATCTGGTCAATAGGTCTTGCAGGGCACCAGTTTGATCATTGTTCAAATGTATTGAGCTTCTTTCCAGTAATTCCCTAAGATGAGAAGGCAAGGTATTTCCGGTATCGGTCATGGGTGTTACAGCTCTAATAGAACTGTCAATTTGCAGATCTGTATAAGACTCACATGTACCCACTTGTTGATTGGCATAAAGTGTAACAGGGTCAGGACTAGTATTCAGTACATTGAGGGTCAATTTGTCATGTTGTTTATGTAAATCATCAATCCCTGGAATAACATAGGTGTCACAATTCTCTGTATTGGATTCCACTAGTCCCAGTTTTGTTAGGTATTCAGAACCTGGTATTTTGACTGATAATATAGCACCAGTATTCGGTGGTACTGTGGTTGACTGGCAAACTAGGACTCTGCATGTATGGTTCTCTTTCTTACCAATCCAACATTGTATCTCATCTTGCTGGAAGGAGTGTAGCACTGAACGCTTGTAATCTATTTTCTGTACAAAATTTAGGAGAAAATCTTGGCCCAGGATGCCATCTTGACTGATGTCACATACAATGAATTTTTGTTTGTAAGTCTTTTTGCCTAAAAGTTATGACAGACACAAAGACACAAAGAACCATATGTGTTTATTTTGTTCCCTTTAACATTTGCAATATGGAGGTCTGTTGGTTCACTTGCACAAGCTGAATTCAGCTTATCATAGAAATTCTTGGAAATGAGGGATGCTGTAGATCCACTATCAATCAAAAATTTATTTCACAACCATGGACTGTTGCACAAGTATAAAATCCATTGTCCCATTGACTACCCATTTTCCCAATCTGGCCTCCTCTTGTATCGAAGTCAAAAGTAGGCCGCCCTGTTTCCGCTGGCTGTGGGCCTATTGAGTCAGCGGTTTCTCGTTTCCCTGTGTCTTTTGGTTTTGGCTTGGAGCAGTGGTTTGGTTAAATTTTTGCTGATATTGGTTATGGTTCTTATTGGAGCTGTGTTCCAGGCGATCTAATCTTGTAATAAGGTTCTGAAGGGTAGAATTAATTTCATTGTTTCCTTCTTTTTCAGGCTTCTGCTCACCAAAAGACCGTTTTGCTCTCGCGTTAGATTCAACTGCACGAACATTCAACTTGCGCTTTTCAGAACTGTCACCAAGAATGGACTCGTACCTTTCGATAACATCAACTGCTTCGCCCACCGTCTGACAATCTTTATCAATGCACCTACACTTCATTTCAAGAGAGATAACGTTATATAACTGATTGAGAGCTAATGCTTCCTGAGCTAAGGCATCTAAATTATGGTAGGCTCTTTGTGCCATCTGCCTGATGTCATCACCCAATTCTGCTATGGACTCGCCTGAAAGGCGTCGCCTCATCTCAAGTTTAGAAAGCCATCTGTTCTGATTTCTAGTACTACCAAACCTTTGATTCAGTTTGTGAACAAGAGACTGAAAGGATTCTTTATCATCAGGGGATAAACTCATATAGTAAGTTCTAGCTTGATCGCGAAGACTTGCAGCAAGGAAAAGTAACTTAGTGCGGTCAGACCATTGGCCTAACTCCGCACAATCTTAAAAATGAGAGATGTACTCATCCCAATCATCTTTACCATTAAAGGACTCTGGCTTTACAACTACATGGGTCTCAGGGGACTGTCTAAACACATCAACCAATCTATCATATTGCATTCTGGGAGGAACATTTTTAGGATATGGTACAAATCTATCTCTATTGGGAAGTTCTGGTTCAACATTGGGAATTGGGGTGTGGTTAAGTCTCTCTGGACGTTTATTAGAGGGGGAAGAGTCAAAGAACTGGTCACCTTGACCTAACTCATTATCATCAACACGGAAGTGCACTTCAGGGTCTGGGGATGGAGCCCTTGCCATCTTACTAGTATTTAATTAAAATGTGAAACCATAAATATTTAATTAACAAGTATATTATTTACAGGTAATACCAACACACCGGACAGCTGAGCGGTTACTTAAGGATGGATTCTTGTCAGCATTTTACGTCGTCAATGGGTCTCCATAAATTATGCAAGTCGTAAAATGCAAAATTCATATTTAATTATACTGAAGGAAAAACTATTAGTTAATTTGTCAGTTTAAGTAATGTTGAATCTATTTCTTTTGAAATTGATAAATTTTTCGTATTATTTTCTTTGATTTGCGACAATCGCCATAATATTCGCAGTTCGGTAGCGAATGTCAACATGTCCAGATCATTTTCCGTAGAAAACCCCGAGAGGGTTGTTTTGTAAAATCTACAAACTGTGAACATTATCGAAGCATTGCAGAAGCCCAGGTACAGTTATGACAAATTAAATCATAGTTATTTATGCCCGGGGCATTCCGATCAACCAAAAGGGAAGCTTGAACTTGAAGGTCACAAACATGTGCAACAGCTGTGCAAGATTGCAAATCCACGTTGCCTCGTCTGATGTCATATGTCGTGTGCAGTGAGCATGTAAGTTAGTTATATATGTCTGAAGATTTTTATAGTTTTGAAATTGAATTCAATTACATGCTGGTTTGTATTGATTTATGGGAATTCGCACGTAAATTATAGATGTTATCAATATTTCGTCTGCTTATTCCCGCGACTTGTCAACATTTGAAGAGGATATATTTCGTGTGTTCGTCAGGGTTATCAATAATAACTCACAAAAATAGCATTTTTTGTATATGATTACAACAAATTTTATATTTTTAACTAGCCTACTAGCCTACACAACAATCATCAAGTTATTAGAAAAGTAAGGTGTTCCGCTTTGGTAAAAATCAAACGGAAAAATAACTTGATATTGTATGTGGAAATATCAGTAATATTGAAACACACAATAGTCTAATAAATAGAGCAAAATGAAACATTATTGTTAAAAAACTATTTATATTATTGTTTTTTTTTTTACTTTTCTGTACTTTTAGGATAAAAAATGTCTATTTATTTATATCCAATACACTATAATATAAGACATTATACATGTGGTAGAATCTATTAAAATATCTTCATTCATTTAAATCAGTAAATGAAATACAGATGAGATAAGTTGTTTAATCTTATAATCAATTTCCATTAATTTAAAAAAAAAATAGTCTAAGGGATGTTCATGTCTAATTCTTAGGAGAAAAACAACCCTACTTTACCCTACACTAGAAAAAAGACTGGAGGTCAGAATGCAGGATGATTGAGCATGGAGTGCTGGCAGATGGACTAATGAGGTACATGTATAAAAAATGTGGACACGACTTTATCTAACTATCAAGTAATGCAGTATCTGTGCTGCTATGTAAAATATTTTACTTTTTTTAAATTATAGGTCAACAAAAAGTTTGGACTTTCACCAGGTGGACACATGTTCAGCAAGAAATTCTCACATCAAATGAATGATGGCTGTCTGTGGAAAAGAGATTTTCTCAGAATATATCATGACAGAAGCAGGAATTACATATTTATCTGATCAAAGAAATGTTTTTGTAGAAATGTGGAAGTCAATGCATGTTATCAAAGTCACTGCTGCTTGTTTCATGATTCCATTCTTGATTTTTTTCAGAAACTTTCAGTCAAAAATAGTTTTATTTATAATTATATAATGTTTAATTTTTGATTCCCAAGTACCCGATACAGTGCACGCTTTGTAGAATGTGATTACTTTACAAAATCTTTGATTCAGATTTGAAATCTTACTCCCAGAGTGAATTTTTCAAGCATTATCTTTCATTAGATTACAATGTGAAGATTTATATGTACTGGCATTACAACAACTTGTAAATGATATATACCTAGCTCTATGTATTCAGTTGCTTTACATTTTCAAATACAGTTAAAATCTTAAAATACAGTTCTGGAATGCATAAAAATGTGCCTGCTTTAGATCATTTAATTAAAGGGTGATTTTAAGCAAGAGCATGCCAAACAAAATTGCTGGTAGTGGCCGGGTTAAA